TCAGGCCCCTGTACTTGCAAGGCAGGCACTGGAACCACTGAGCTAAATCCCCGGCCAAAATTAATAGTACCTCTTATCCTCCTGACGTTTTTTGGTTTTTGTTTTTGTTTTAACCTCTGCTTCTTTAACTGTGGTATCAGGCATTTTATCTCAGCAACAGGCAAGTTGACTAATACAATATGTTATATGCAAATGTCACTACATTTTATGTAAGGGACTTGAGCATCTTTGGCTTAGTATCAGAAGGTGGGTTTTGGAGCCAAAACTTCGCAGATTCTGAGAGACAACTGTAACAGAATTCTCCAAATCTTGATCAGAAGTTTTGATGCTAAAGACTTTCTTAAGGTCTTTGTGCCTACCAATTTTTGACTTGATGTGAATTTGCATATTATCAGACCCAGCCTTCATATTCATTTTGTAACTCAGCAGGAACCTCTAAGTCATTAAACCAAAGTTAAATTTTTTCTCTTTTACTATCCAAATATGTTTCAAAGAAAGGGTTTAGTTTGCAAGCACAAGGTCCCGAGTTAGATCTCCAGTACAAAAAAAGAAAAAGAAAGAAAGAAAGGGCTTAGATTTAAAAGGAACAGTAGTGTTTAAATTCATATTAACAATATAGTTTATTTTTCAAGGTTACACATACAGTATTTAGTTTTGTTCTTATAAGAATGTGAAATTTACCTGTTACCCAAAGGTTTCAATACTCAATTGAATGGTCCCATTTTTTTTTCACTTGGAAGTTATTTTTTCTAAGCAGAAACTATTAAGAGATGCACCGTTTTGCAGACTAATTTCTTTAATCTTTTAAATGTATTAACATAAATTACAGAGTGCAATTTACAGCTCAAGTCCCTTTGTAAACATTGTGTTCTGGAATTTGGAAGGTTTTCTTTTACTGTTTTCTCAGCCTGGAGAGCTTTTCATAAAGTATTGGCACTTTGCAAGTATTGGAGGTGTGGCTTGTTTTCTTAATTCCCCCCACTGAGTCTCTTTATCTTAGATTTATATAAGCTTCCAGTGGTCTCTTGAAACCAATAAAAATAAGAAATTCACAGAGGTTGAGAGACATCATAACTATATTTTCTACAGACCTACAGAGGGGGCCTAATTAATTCCAAAAGAATCTTTGATATCAAGTTTAATTTCTTTGTCATTTATGGACTATCCAGACCAATCTTTCCCAAAGAAGCAAACTGAAATACTCACTGGGTTCCAGAATCTCCTTGAATTCCTCACTGCTAACCCTTCAGTTCAAACCTAATGCAGCTGGGCTTTTATGGGGGGAAGAGAGGATCTCCCACCTAAACAACAGAAGAAGTCACTACATTATCAAACTAGCTGACGATTAAACAGTGGCATTTTTCCCTGGGAAAAGAAAAAGAAATCCTGCTTAGGTTCAGAAAAACAATCATCTCAAGCTCCCCTGAACGGACATATACATATTTATCCTCCAGGGGGCGCGAGTTCTCTGTTTCTGGTGAAGAACACACTTCACCGGTCCAGAGGGTCCCCCGCCCTTGGAGTCTCTAGAGAAAATTCACTTAATCGGGCCATAATCAGAACAAAAACAAAAACTCCAAAAAGTAAATTAATTAATTAACTAAGAATTTAAAACTTCCAGCTTCAAATTAGATAACACTCTAACCCCAAAACTAGAAGCATTCATTCCAAGAAAAAGAAGTACAAAGCTCTTCCAACCTGCCCTGCCAGCTGATGGGTTTGCAGATAAGACTCACCTGTGTGGTCTGGATTTAGACCCAAGAACTCCTGGCAAAAGCAACTGCAGTTTTCACTTCCCAGTTCCATGGAGATGAGCTTAGCCAGCTGCTCCTCCTTGATTTTTTGAGCTGGTTAAGAACATCTCGAAGATGGGCAGGTGCTCTGTTGGGACCCAAGTGGACTGACTGTCATTGCCTGGGTTCCCTTTAAAAAAAACAGACCCTGATGCAAAGGGCTAGAATCTTATTTGGGAGATGATTTCAGGATACAAGAGTGAGGAGCCTTCCGGGCATGGTGGAGCACACCTATAATCCCAGCACTCAAAAGTCTGAGACAGGAGGATTGCCAAACAAACAGAATGAGGAACGGGTAGGGTGACCAGATGTTGCCATTTTCTGGAAACAGAGGGGTTCCTAAGATATGAGACTTTCAGTGCCTTGATTGAAGTCCAAGCTAAACTTGGATGAGTTGGGCACTTCAAGAACTGAGACCTGGAGAAGGAGTGGAGTCAGGATTCATGAGTTGGTTTGATCTGACAGGTCCTCCTGAGGTGTCTCCCAGCATGCACCTCAGATTTGTTTCACTTGCAGGATGGAAGTGGGGAGACTGGCCCACCGTTTCCCACCCCTCATTAGTCACATGTTGCCCTTTTGAGTGCTCATTCTCCCCACATTCATGGGAAGAGAGAGTACCTTGCATGCGAGCACCCTGAACCCCCATAAGAATTTCCCACTGAGGCTTTGGAGAAGCCCTGCAGCTGAAGAACAGCACCATGAGCTACACCCACACAAGTCTGATGTCTGTGACAATGGTTGGAATCAAAACTGGACTGACAGGGTATGAGGAGGGGCCTGAGAAGTGTCCAATCATGAAGATTAATTTTACCTACCTTTGGTTGGCTCATCTTTGAGCTCAGTATGGGATTATCATCCTCTGCTCTCAGCTTCCAAAAAGTTTTTTAATCTCGGTGAGATAAAATACTCTCAAACTCTTTGTTTAAATAAGATACCCAGCAAAGTAGTCTTATACACACGGAGGAAAATGCCATTCCCATGATCCCTTCCTGGTTAAATGAGAATTCATAGGCATTTGTATCTCTCCTCAAAACAGGTGATTTAAATAGCATCACCTCTCTAAGCCATTACAGAAACAACCAATCAAAATTACAAACTATTTAGAAATTTAAAAGTCTTAGTATCATGAGACACAACAACAGTCTGGTTATGTTTTATAAATATTGTTGAAAATCATATTTGCAAGAATGACTTATATGTATTTCAAACATTTTATTATGGAAAATTTTAGAAATAAAAATAAAGGGACCAGTGTAATGGCACTTCTTTTAAAATTTTTGTTTCGAAAAAATTTTATTATGGAAAATTTCAGAAATAAACTAGACAACAGCATAATGAATCCTCCTTGTACTATCCTCAAACATCAACTTTTGACCTTGCTTTTTCTACCTCCTTCAGTATAGAAGGCATACAGCAGCAAACAGCAGAAAGTCTATTTGAATGATCTTAAACAAAAGCACTGTTAGTCTCAAATAACATGTCTAGAGAAATGCTGTCCAGGGTTAGGATAGATTGAACAATGTCTTCCAAGATTCAGTGCCTTCTATTGTTTTTGTTTTTCCATCCTTAGAGTATGATTGCAAGATGGTTATTAAGCTTCCAGAAATCACATCCTTATTCCAGGAAGGAAAAACAAAAGGACAAAAAAGACCAAATGATATGCCAATGGAGATAGGTTTCTTTCAAAGACCTTTGCCTGAAGTTCTAGACAGCAACATTTACTTATATCTCCTTGGCTAGGGCAGGGTCACCTGGTCTCTGTTTGCTGTGGACACAGCTGCCCCGAATTAAATCAGGATCCTTTTAGAAAGAAGGGGCATCTACCCTTTTGTTTTTGTTTTTTGGTACCGGGGATTGAACTTGGGTCCTTGTGCTTGCAAGGCAGGCCACCGAACCGCTGAGCTAAATCCCCGGCCCGGCATCTACCCTTTTACCTCTGCTTTTCTTTCAAATATCCTCCTATCCCTTGGCCACTCAGGTTATTCTTTTATTTAACAAATATTTATTTAACATTTACTTCCTGCCACTCCCAAGCCCGGGTCCTGGATCTCTAAAGAGAAATAAGTAGTCTAGAAGCCAATACACAATATCTAGGCCTGATAAATCCACAGTCACACAAACACATTATTAAAAGATGTAGACATAACCCCTTGAAGACATGAAAGCAGAGTTTTTCAAAGAGGTTGGTTGCCCCTGGAGACCAAAGTGGGGGCAGGGAGGTAGAACTGGGAATTATAGATACCATTATATGTTACTGCTCCTCTGTACTGCCTGGCATTTCATTTTTACCATGTGCCTACATAATTTTGATAAAATATTTTTTAAATTCTTAAAAATAGTATCGCAGTAAACATCTTTGTGCATAATTAGTTGTTGCAATGTTTGGCTACATTTTCATGGAATATTCTGAGAATTTCTATGTTAAAGATTGCGGATACAAATCGAAGGGCTTAAATGGAGTGACGTGTGTAAACCACCAAGCACATCACAGGCACTCAATACACATCAATGAGAAACAAATAAATCACTCAGCATTTTGACCAGATGCCAGCCCCTTTCTAAGGATTGCCACAAAGAAGTACAGCTCTCCACAACATTCCTGAGTCTTTTGTGAATACAAACAGTATTGTATCAAGCAGCATGTGCTAATGTTAGTGCAGGTTTTTTGGCAGCGTTTATTTGGGACAGATTCCTAGAAATGGGTAAATGCACAAGTAATTTTGCTAGACATTGCCACGCTCCCCTCCCATAGGGATTTTCCACTTCCTTGGCAATGTGTGAGCATAATTGTCCTCACAGCCTCACCAAGAGAGATTACTGTCCAACCATAGAATGTCTACTCATTGATTGCAGAGAAGCAGGCTTTCAGCGTGGTTTGAATTTCCACCTTTGTCATGGATGCTTATCATTTTCCTGAACCACTGCCTATTCCGAATTTTCTTCATGCTTAGCCAACACTTCAGCTGGTCTAGCTGCTCCCCCTGTAACCCTGAAGGGTTGAACCCCTTAGTTGTCTCACTCATGTCAGGCCATTGGTGCCTCAATTGCCCATTCATGTCATTACCGAGCACAGCAGCACAGGGAGTCCCATAAACTGCACACTTTCTGATTTCTGCTCTCATTACATATCAGCAACCTCCTTATAAAAATCAGGGAGGTTTGGACCCTGCCAGCAGAGTAAATCTATGTTTGCCTCTGAACCGCTAGATCCAAAGCATCCAGGAAGGAGCTGTGTCATCAGATAAGTGGAACCCTCCAGTGTCCCTTGATAGAAGAGCTTACCTCTCCCTGAGGATCGGGACTTCTCATCCATCTGTGCTTACGGTTTTAGGAACACAAAACAAACCTCCTGCAGGTGGATCACTGGACATGATGGTAAGAGGGGCTGCACTTTCTCTGAACTTTCGGTTTCTGGACCTCTGTATTCCCACTGATGGAGACAGAGTCTCCATAACAGCCTTTGCTCACTCCACTCTAGGATCGCGGGACAGCACTTTGACCCCCTGCAAGGTACTGCCCCAAGCTAGTGCCTGCCCTATACCTTTCAGGCCAGGTAATTCCAGGTGACATTGTGCAGTAGGACCAGTAGATCCTGTGGGAATGACCTTCACTGTTAAATGGTATTAGACTGAGGACATATGAGACTACATTCTGATCCAGGAAACCAGAAGCACTTCAGCTCTACCTGGGTGCTGGCAGGACCACCAAAAGCAAGGAAGGCAAATGTATATCCAGAGTTAGTTTAAGCTCCTAGGAGCAAGAATCCCTCTTCCTTCCAGGTTGGCGTGGTCTGATGAGGTCAACTTATTTGCTTTTCTTTAGGGATGGAGCTGTGGACACATAAGATAATCAGCAGGGGCAGCAGCAAGATTGGCCTTACCAAGTAGGAGCTGTGCTGTCGGGCCAAGGCAGAGCTTCCGTCACTATCACCGGGATGTCTGCATTCATGGGCCCATTGCTCAAGATCCAGAGTGCCTGAGGACAGAGGCCAGCTAACACTCTCAGAAAAGTCTCCCATCCAGCAGGCTGTGCCGTGCTCCCTCCAATGTGGATGCTTCCAAGTGAGCATCGATGTGAGGCACAGACAGCTTCACACCCAGTGTCCATTGCTTACAACCAAATGTGCCGCTGTTTCCCCAGTAGGAGGATTTCTCTTCTGTACTGCCTGGGCTCCTAGTGTGGGAGCAGCTTCTTTTCAGCTCACAGCAACCTACAAATGAGCCTGCCCATATGTGAACCAGGCCTGGATGTTTTCTTCTTCTATCATCTGGTCATAGGGAAGCCCCATGAGGACACAGAATGAACTCCAGGAAAGACATTCGTGCCACAGATTATGTGATGGGCCTCCGAGCCACTTGCTTGTGTAACTTAATTATACTGCAGGCCTTGATGTACCATTTCCATCTTGTGATGAATTACTAGTGTGCCTTCCTGACCTTCTCATGAGATGATGGCTCTAATAATACCTAGCTCATGACAGGCAGCTTCCACATCCTAATTACTTGGCATCCATCCATGGTGAGTTTCTGCAAGGGCCCATTAGTATGTCCGAAACTGCTCTTCCAGTGCATGCTTCTGCAAAGTAGCAGCATGGTCTGTGTAATGCACCTCTCATTAGGCTTGCCAGAGGTTCCACCCAGCATTCTGAGCTCCATGGCTACCTCTAACACTGTAGCTTGCCCTGTAATATGGTCCTAGTGTAGAGTCCTCTCTTCCTCTGAGTCTCATTTGGAAATGTTAGATCTCCAGCTACTTGGTAAGTGCATTGGGATAGTATTCTCAATGTGGCATACACTGTCTCCAAAATCCAAATAACCCAGTTACTATGTGTATCTTGCTTAATGATAAGGTGCAATAATTTGTTCTTCACCTCAGAAGAGATGTCCCAGCATGTCGCAGACAGACCTAGATCCCCTAAAACCTTCACCTGTGTAGCAAGATTCTAAATCTTTGTAGTGTTTACCTCCCTTCCTCAGACACACATGTGTCTTATTAGAACATTCAAAGTAATGCCATTTTCCTGTTATCGGGTCCAATTGCCATATCATCAATACATCAGACCAGAGAGATCTTCTGCAGAAAGTCAAAATGACCAATGTCTTAGAAGACTACATTATAACAGAGAACGGGACAGTTACCATGGTCTTAGGCACAACCATGAATGTTACGTTTCTTCCTGGCTATATGTGAAGGTCTTTCAGTTCTCCTTACTAGCAGAGATTGAAAAGAATACATAGACGGAGTTGAAGCCAAGTGCCAGAGGCTGTGCCCATCTATTCCAATAAAAAGATTTCATCCAGCAAAAGAGCTGCACTTGAGGCTGCCCCTTGCATCCTGTGGTTACCTTGTCCAGCATGTTCCAAATGGTTTTTACAGACATGAATACATGTGAATTAAATGGGAGATACAATGGGAACTGCCTTCCCTATAGTCTTTATGTTTTTAAGGGTGTCATGAATCTCCGAGCCTCTAAAAATTCCAACATACGGATTCAGAAAGTAAATGAATGGGTTGTAAGCTACTGTTTTGGGTCTTGTTGTCATGTGTGGGAAGCCAGCCATGGCCCACTGGCTTTTTGAAAGACAACATTTGTTCCTTTTTAAGATACAATGGGAACTGCCTTCCCTATAGTCTTTATGTTTTTAAGGGTGTCATGAATCTCCGAGCCTCTAAAAATTCCAACATACGGATTCAGAAAGTAAATGAATGGGTTGTAAGCTACTGTTTTGGGTCTTGTTGTCATGTGTGGGAAGCCAGCCATGGCCCACTGGCTTTTTGAAAGACAACATTTGTTCCTTTTTAAGGACTGCACGTGTGAAAATTGTTTTTTTTTTTATTGAGTTTATTGGTACATTTAGGGATACAGTACAGTTACATTCATTGTTGGGATCATGTACCTTTACATGGCAAGTCTTGATTCTCATTTTTTAGGGGCCCATCCTTGGGAGCCACAGTCCTGAGGCTGCAGGGACCCTGCCTTTCTTCCCTGCCCTCCCAGGCCCTTCCCAGCTGTGGGAAGCCAGCCACGGCCCACTGGCTTTTTGAAAGATAACATTTGTTCCTTTTTAAGGACTGCACGTGTTAAACTTGTTTTGACCCTGCACGGGAGAAACTCGGACAGCCAAAGATCTGTAGGAGTCAGGTGCTTCCTGTTAAAGATCTGATGTTATCTATAGGAGTCAGGTGTTGTAACTCCATTTTGTTAAATTCCTCCACCTATTGTGGGAATCATGATTATTAGTTGCAAGTGTTGTTAGTTTGTTTTTCTTGAGCCTGCTTTCTCTTGCCCGTGTGAACCCTCGTTCCCGTGGAGCGGGTGTTGAGGTTACTATGGTAATCCTAGCCCATAATAGTTCAGTCTCTTCCTTTAAAAGGCTGATGCCTGCCTGTAATAAACGTCGCCTTGATCAGACTCTTGTCTTGCCATCCTTCCTTTCTCTCTGACCCATCTCCACCCCGCTGCTCTTTCAGGTTTGAGGCACTGCTGGACAGTGCTCTGTGTCACCGGTTCACGACAGTCATGCAGCAAAAGCAGCACTGGACAGGCAGGTTGGGAATACAGCAGACAGATTTGAGCAGGGAATATAGTCATAGATGGTCCCTGAGTCAAGGGAGAGATAAAGACTTCCATGGAAAATCATATAGAATGACAGCATCTTGAAACCTCCCAAATCAACATTACTCAACTGTATTCTGTGATATGAATCTCAAAAAATGGCACCACCATCTACCCGGCCCCCAACCTTTCCAAGCACACACCATATCTGCCAGTCCTAATGCTCTGAGCATCATACACTCCAGCAGAATGAAGCTTTCTGATACCACCCGAATGTACTTTTCTCTCTTCCCCTTCCCATGCCATTGCCGCTGTACCTTCTTCTGTCTCAAGTACTCGTCCCTGCTTCTTCTGCATACATTTAACTGCCATTTCAATTTTATACATCACTCCTTCTACAGCCTTCCCACCAGATGTTAGCTTCTCCTTCCACACCTTTCTAGCACAGCGCACTGTAAGTGCACAGCATGGAGACGATTGCCCTACCTCTGCCAGCCTTTCACTCTTCCCCACCACTCTGTGGTTCTGAAGGACATGGGTTGTGTATCTGTAAACCTGAGTTTGTGTAGTCAAAAACTTGATGAGACTCCTGGGGAACAAATAAATCTAACCTGGGAGATTTCAGAATGGCCGAAGTTAATAATTCTGTTTAGTTTTTCTACCTTCCTTGTATAGAGTGCATAGCAATCACTGTTGGTGAGTAATATAACACTCATTCTCTCATTCTTAAGCCCCCTTTCCTTTGTCCTCTTAACTATAGAGGCTGGAAAACCTAAATGGTTGATTTCCCAGGCTCTTTTGTGTTTTGATGTGGCCACATCCCAAAGCAGGGCCAGCAAGATGAAGCAGGGTTTTGCTAGAGGCCTCTGCTTTTCTGATCCAAAGGACACTAGGGCTTCCCTTTTCCCTCACCTCCCTGCCTGGAAGTCAGATGCAAAGCCTGGAGTTTCTTTAGACATATTAGATCATGAGCACTGGAGAGAGGCAGAGAAGAGCAGAAAGCCACAGCAAGTCTGAACCTCAGATGGCGTCTGAGAAGCACTGCTCAGCTTTGGCCGCCAGCCCGCAGATCTCTGCTAGCTTGAGGTCACTAAGTGTCCAGGTTGCTTAAGCCACTGCCTGCCAGGTGATTCAGCACGGGGCAGAAAGCATTCCTGAGACAGAACACAAAGGACAGCAGGAACTAACTGCCGGAAGAGTGTTCCAGGTGGAAGCAGTGTTAAGATAAACCTACCAATTTGGGGTTGATTGGTTCATTTCTACTCAGCTCCTAGTGCTGGCTTGAAAGCAAGAGAAGCAGCCTCTCTTCGGTATTCACAGCCAGGTGGGAGGTGATCTGATGAAGTAACACAAGGAGCAGCTGGTAGTTAAGTGCAGGTTTGGTACAACTCACAGGGGCTCCATGAAGCCGGAGTGCCTCACATAGGAAAGATTTCCTGCAGGATGAGGGGCTTGAACAGGCTTCAAAAGATGAGTAGAATTTGTTGGCTTATCATCGGCCTTGAGAGATAAGTGGGCAAAAGGAGGTAAACCTCTTGGCAAGCCCCAGTGTGCCCTGGAGGCTGAGTATTAATACCTTTCTGATCCTGTATGAAAGGGGACTTTAAAAAGTATTCTGTCTCTTTCAAATTCATTTATTCAACAACAACAAAAATTTATTTTGCCAGTATTGGGGATTGAATCCAGGGCCTTCAGGCTGACTGATATCACCAACCCTTTAAAATTTTTTTATTTTGTGACAAGGTCTTGAGTTGCTAAATTGCCCAGGCTGGGCTCAAACTTTCAGTCCTCCCGCCTCAGCCTTTGAGTACTGGGATTACAGATCTGCACTACCATTCCTGCCTTCAACAAATATTTATTTGGCCCTGGGCCTGGGGATTTAGCTCAGTATTTCCACCACCTGCCTCACAAGCACAAGGACCCAAGTTCAATTCCTGGTACAAAAAAAAAAAAAAAAAAATTCGGCCCTTACCACAGATGAGGAGCTGCTTTGGCTAATAAGGATACACCTGTGGGCAGAATATATTCATTAACTGACTTCAGTGAGCCCCTCTTTTCAATGAGGGAGACAGATGGTAAACAGAAAAATAACTCCTGAAAGCTAGAGGGGGGAAGGATGAGCAAACTCGGGCCTCAGCAGTTTCCTTTGCTTCTTTTCGGGCTCTGGCTTCACAAATCTGTTTACACATCTGGGTTCCTGTTGCCCAGACAACTCATTAGGCAAGTCCGCTCCTGGATACCTAGGAAATAGTGATCCCAAGAGGATACTAGCTGTGGACGCCATGTCCGCCCCCTCACCACAGGCCACCCACTGTGCTTCTCTGCCTGGAAGCTTCTGCTGTTCTCACTGCCTGCCTGGGCTGATGTTTGGTACTGCGGCTGTATCTCCCTTTCCTCACTGCGCATGCTGTGAGTGCCAAGTCACACTCCATGCTGCCCTTATTCTTCCCCAGGTGTAGGACCATCGCCTGCACTCTGCCCACAGCGTTCAGAGGATTCTTTCTTCTTTCTTAAGTCACTAAGGATAGAGTTTATTGCATGTATATTTCTTTATACCTTACATACAAAAAAAGAAGACAGACTTATTTCACATGTGCATCAAGTCAATCATGCAGGAATCCGGGGAACTTTGTGCTGAGAGGCATTTATACTTGGCTTTTCTTTCAATGAAAAATAAACACCTGTGTGCCAACAGGGTGGTATTTCCTTAAATGTTGTAAAAAGCACTGATTCTCAAAGTTAGCTGAATATCTGAATCACCTCCAGAGTTTCTTTTTTTTTAAAAAAAAAGCAACAATGCCTGTATGACATCCATAAAATACATAATTGATAGAGATAAGCTGGGCCCTGGGCTTCTAGAACTGTTCCATGGTTACAAAAGTCAGCTTCTGCTGAGGGACTCTCTCCATGCCTGGATTTCAGTAAATAATTGTTGCTTTAATCACCAGATAGGTGCATCTCTTTTGATTGAAAAAAATAAATATCTTAGGGGGTATTACTTTATTCATCATTGCCAGGCACATAGCAGTTGCTAAATTTCTGAATGAACATATTCAGAAGCCTTATATACTTTTTTTTGTACCAGGGCTCGAACTCAGGTCCTTGCACTTGCCAGGTAACCACCAGAACCACTGAGCTAAATCCCCGGCCCTATACTTCTTTTATATTTCCACCACTCTAGCAGATTATGAATAAGATTTCAATAGATATTTATAGGAAAAAAAGGAATAAAGCAGTTGGAATAACATTTAAGGCAAAACAAAAATCTTCTATAAACATTTAACACACACACACATAAGTAAATCAAAAGGTAAAAAAGAATACACAAAAGCTTGCAACATTTAGCAGTTGAAAATTCAGTGAGCTTCCAAATATTCTTCACATTCTTACACTTAGAAGCAAAGCAAGCCTGAACAATGCGTTCTTCAGCTAACAGCCATAAGCACATGAGCAAATTAAGGTTTCTTTAAAAACAATTATAGATTATTTTTGATGATCACAGCTTAGCTTTTAAAATTCAAGTGAATAAAATTTTAGTACAATCATGATAATTTTTCTAGGTAGTTGTATTTAAAAACAAAAGATTGTTTCTGGTTAAAATATTTGGTATCCCCTACTGTTATGTCCTCTCAGTTGAGATGTACGTAGGAGCTTCTTAGCAGCTCCACAGGATAAAAAACAACAATTCTGGTACCTTTTCACTTAGTATGTTAATTTAGGGAAAACATTAATAATAGACTTCTTTTCTAGAGCTAGATTCTCAGATATGTCTTCATGTATCAAAGGTTCACAAGTATTAGATAAATTTTAATTAAGTTAATACCTTAGACTACCAACTTTGGCTTTCTTAAAATCAGCATCAGTTTTTTGTTTTGTTTTGTTTTGTTTTGCTTTTTTTGCACTTGATCGAACTCAGGACCTTGCGCTTGCGAGGCAGGCAGTGGAACCACTGGGCTAAATTCCCAGCCCTAATTTCTTTCTTTCTTTCTTTCTTTCTTTCTTTTT